TTCGCGTAGAGGTTTTTTGATTCTACTTTTTTATCAATTGAAACATAAAAAGTTACTGTTGTTGTAACTTAGATCATTCAAAAACATTAGGTCGTAAAGATAAATAACATTACTTACAGTTTTTTGAAAGAAAATCCAACTAAAATCACAATCACAAAACTTCAACGATTACGCAACTAACAGCACCAACAGCACAAAAGCGAGTGACTGTTATATTTGATTTTGTCTATGTAACCGAGTGAATATAATTCTTCAGAATACTCTTTAGTTCGTTCAGAATCGAATGAAATAGTATTCAATTGAAAATATACTGTATTTTTATATCAATTAATGAAGAAAATAGCAGCACGTAATGCGGACATGAATTCATTGTCGCGGTACTCAACGGTCTCGTCGAGATGAATTCATGTCCACGGTACCTTAAAGGAATTTGAGTAATGTTCGAGTAGAATAAAGTTAATCGTTCGACTATTCTTTCTTGTAAACTTGTAAGTATAAGTATAAAAGCCAATCTAGTGTTATCCAGAGTTTTCCTTTAATTTTATTTATATGCGTATTAAAAGCAGAAGGGGAGGCATTCGCCCAGCAGTGGGACGCTATAGACTAGATTAAATTAGATGGGTCCCACTACGCTGGATTTTTGCAATGACAGTAGATTTTTATGTACCAATGGTAGAAGGGGGCATTACCATGTCTCTAATACAGCTGAGACCAGCTGAGGGTTCTTCATCTGATACTTTAGACCTTCGATTTTTGACATCAAATGAAGCGGCCCAGAAAGTTGAATATTTTTTTGTAAAGGCGGTATGTCGATCTCTTCTAATAGTTTGGTTGGGCTCTTGTGTTTTCTAATCAGGGTCACCAGGGACTCCAGATGTTCGATTATCCTAGTTTTTATAGTTTTCCCTTTATGTGGCCATTAAACCCTAACTCTGTACCAAATTTCAGCTCTCTGAGTTTATGGGAAGTACTAGTTCTATTTTGATGATCATGAGTGAGTGAGTGAGTGTCTAAAATGCGAAACTTTGCTTTCGCTTAACTTCGGAACTAAATGACCTACAGACTTGAAATTTTGGATTTTAAGAATGTGATTATAGTTTACTGGATGACGAAAATTTCTGCGTTCTGATATTATCCAGAGGTTCTCAAATAGGGGCCTGAAAATGCGGCGAAATGTTTCCAGTAAAGGATGGTACGGCAGTGTTTGCTTCGCGCTCGACTTGACGGGGGCACTGCCGTGCCCCCCGATTACACTTTATGAAGCGTTATTACATATCCTTCAGTTTAATTCCATTTTAAACCATTCTCGCGTTATAAAAAGTTATTATTCACGTATTATTCAATAGCCTATAAAAGTCTACTGCTGAATATAGGCATCTCCAATAGATTTCCTCATAGGAATCCTCCCTATGAAACGACATTGCCGTAGTGCCACGCTTCTAAAGCAAGTTGGCAAACGTAGTTTTTACCTTACACCGCCGAATCACGGTACGGTAAAAAGTAATTATATGGTTTAAAACATTGAGCTATTATGTACAGCATACTAGAGGCGACACTGCATTCAGCTACTCTGTTCCACTCAACTGCGGTGCATACACCGCACTTTAATCAGTCACTCTCTAGGCGTGTTGTGTTGATTTAAAAAAAATCTCTTGATAAAAATATGCCGTCGTGTGTACTTAGATATTGCACAAATAAATCAAGAAATGTCAGTAAAAACTAAGGAATTACTTTTCATTGGTTAAAAAGATACTTAATCAATAAAAAAAATATTATAGATTAATAATAAAACAAATTATTCCTAAGACGCCATCTCGTGTCATGGAATATAGATTATAAAATTAATATGTTCAGATGGGACATTTCTGTGGGTACTTAAGTATAGGACGAATATATTATTATATACATTTTTTTTGTAGAAACATAAATTTTATAATAAGGCAAAATTTTACATATATAAATCTGTTTATTATTCTTTTATTTTATTTTTAGGTTTCCACATCAAAGTGGAATAAATTCGTCCATTTTTAACCCTCGCATTTATGAAAGAATCTTATTCTAATTTAAATAAATATATTTGTAATTTAAATGTTACGTTAATAAGTTTTGTTCTACATACATTTAGTATGTTCTTTTTATATTTGACATAGATACCTATTAAAATATTTAGATAAAATGATCATTAAAATTTAATTGTGATATAATATTATGTAATATTATATTAATAAGCAAATATAATATACAAAATAAATGACAAAATATAAATATTGTTCTCGATATAATTTACCTATTTAAAAATACAATCTACTATTACCTACGGATTATTCTACCTACGTTTATTCTATGATAAAAAAACCAACCGAGCGAACACAGAGTAGCGCACATTTTTTGTTCGAAATAGCTGTTCTAGTACGTAAGTACATAATATTACTTCAATGGTTTTAAAATATAAAAAATCACCGTTTTTAACACAGTTTTTAAAATCATAAGACGAAGAGAAAAGGCCCCAAGACATTTTTACTAACCTCCATTAATACATTTTCACATTTTTCTTTACCTGTCTTATCTGTGTTATCTGATTATGAGATTATTTTATCAAAACATAAATAAAATTGTAAAGCAGTATCGGAGAAGGTTAAGGATATATAATATTAATTTATATAAATGTTAGCTACTTCCCGCGGCTCTGCGTCCGAGAAAACTGAAACGCTTTTAAGTTGATATAACAGCGGTAAATTTGGTTTTCACATGGTAAAAAACATCCCGTGTGTTATTTAATGACATGATCTAACGGTTTGTCAACTTTTTTCCTAATATGTACTGCCTTTTATGCGTAGTTAATTTTCAATAACTTTCAAATATGTATAATATTTTATAAAATTAATACACAGTATATTTATAGTGGCTAAGAAGAATTTTGTTACGGCTCTGCGGGTCGTAGTTTCGAATCCATTCAAGCGTATGCATGGCCTATAGAATGCTTTAATACATTTATAATAGAACTGGGGAGTGGGCGCAGCCCGTTTAGCCTTTGATATGACACTAGGATATCAGTTCACAAGTATAAATGTCAACATATCTCTTTTGACGTTATCAATATAAAAATATTCATGTGTCAAAACAACAGATATTGGAAGCCTAGTGCTTGCTGTAACAAAGTTTTACCCATCACGATAGGCCGGAAAATATTGTCGGTTTTAAATTTGTGCTTGCCTTAATGAAAAGCTAAAGAGACGCTAGCTAAATAGAAATACGATAATAAATATTATTTTAATGACCTTCGAATAAACTCAATTTTAAAATTTTTTATCAAATTGTAAATTTGTTCCCTCTATAGGATAACATTAAAAATTTGCAATAAAGATTTTAGATTCGATCTTCTGGTTACGTATCATAACTATATAGTATATATACTATATATTCACCTCACCTTATTTTCCATTTTCATAAACAATTTTTGGAGTTTTCCTGGACATCGGGACTCAAATAATACATAGTAGATATATACACTCGATCGATTAATGACTACGGATGGGTAGAATTGTTACGGTCTAGTAAGCTTTTAATAAATGTTTCTATTTCAAAATTTTGAATAAATTTTATTATTCCGTAAATACGGTATTATTTATTAAAGGAAGTAAGTACCTTCTTAATAAATCAACATTTAATATTAGTTAGTTTTGTATTCATATCAACTTATTGAAATTTGTGTATGTGAACTATTGTAGATAAACAGGCCAACACGTTTCAAGAATAACAAATAATAAAGAAATACTAATTTAAAGAAGTATACGAATACGTTTTCTTTCACGTGGAATTCAGTCAACGTTAGCTCTTTGAGGATTAGGAAGGTAACCCAGCCTTTTTATTCCTACAAGCTATCTGAGTAGCAAATCTCGTCAAAATCGGTTGAATGGCTTAGCATTTTCTATACAAAGTTTTATACCCATTTCACCGTTTTTATCCAAATTGGTGGTTTAACTGCTAATAACGACTAAACTAAAGAAGGCTTTACAGCCTACTTAGCTGTGATATAACTTTTTTGGCTTAACCAGGCATTAAACTATCTCAATTTTGTAAAAATAGATTTAGACAATCTTGAGACAGACATTCGCATTATAATAGTAAAGTAAGAATTTGTCATACACATTTTTTTTTACTTTTCTAAGCCAGCACTTAGGTACAATCCCACCTGATGGTAAGTGGTGATTTAGCTTAACATGATTAAGAACAACTCTATTTATATCTCTAATACATTTTGGCAGTAAATTAGGTTTTTGTCTTATATTTCTTGAAGTAAAATTTTGGATTTTTTAATCGCAAAATTTACACAGCATCATTTATTTGGAACATACAAAACATTGTTTTCATTGCACTTTTACAAAGTGAGTACTTTAGTATTTATCTTTTAGTATAAAATTGTACAAAATTAATAACAAAAAATATTATTGAAATATTTCAAAATAAATACACTGAAGTCTTACCGGTGCTTACCGGTTACCGCTAAGTAACCTAAACAAGACTACATCCCTAGCGGTGATACCGTTATATACCTACTACAGTTTGCTTAAATTCACAGACTAATATTATGATATTACGCATCTTAAACATGTTCAACAATTTTTTATTCATGATAAGAAAAAAATGACACTGCGATTGTATTTACGATTAATTTGTACACTATTTACAAATAAATATGTATGAAAATTTAAACGATTATGACGTAATTGCTTGCATGTGCGCCCCCGGCGACGCCGATCTTCGTACAAAATAAGGTTGACAGCCATTCTATTGTATATTATAGTATTCTATGTACGGTACGGTATGGCCTACAAATAATTGATCCGAGTCAGAATGTTACCACGAAACAGGATAAAATTTTTGTGAGGGGCAAAATTATAACGTTTATGTAGTTACGGGGTAACGTATATAAAACAAATTGTTTATTTTTTAACTACAGCAATAATGTAGCATTTAACTTTTTAATACAATCTTTTATTTCATATATAATTACTACCTTTTTTCAGCCATGTACATTTATAAAATATTGCCGATAGAGATCCACCAAGTAATGGACCGATCCAGTAGACCCAATGTGCATTCCATGTACTTGTCCAAAGAGCTGGCCCCAAAGATCGTGCTGGGTTCATACTTCCACCAGTAAAAGGACCTCCAGCAATTGATAGCCCAGCAATAGTGAAACCAATTTTTAGAGAAACAGATTCTAAGAAAGCTTCGTTCACTTGATCCCAAACAGCGCAATTAATGAAGTTTAATGTGGCTGTTAGTATTACTTCAATACCCAATGCTTGGAGCGTAGTGAGCTGTACATGAGGTTGGGTTGTACAAATTCCGTCTGTGGTCAAATCAATTGGAGAAACTGCTACTAATATTCCATATCCAGCTATAGAACCCGCACACTGAGCTAAGATATATGCAATTCCAGTGGCGATTGACATTTTCCCCCACAGCAAAGCGGCTAATGTAACGGCCGGATTCATATGTGCTCCAGATATATGTCCAAATGCCTGAATATTAATGAGAACAACCAAGCCGAAACCTAATGGCCCATATAATAGTGGTAGATGCGTCAAGCTGGATATTGGCACACAACACATGCATCCTAGCAGGACTAAAAGTAACGTCGAAATAAATTCTGCCAATACTGCCTTGCACAGTATAGAAAAGAGTTTCTTGGGTTGTGAAATGTTCATGTCTTCCATTACAGAAACACTTTCCATCACATTAACTATTTGATTTCCAGGACCAATAGTTATTATTCACTCAATTAGAACATTATTTAGAAAAAAATCTAACTTAAATAAATATTTTTGGTAAACTATTTTTCAATTTTAGTCCGCTGGACAAAACAACACTGAAGTACTGAAACATCGATCATAACAAATATAGGACTGATATCAAACATCAGACGTTATTTTATCATTGAAAATATGGTGTCGTCGATATAACTGTTACCACTATTGCGAAACTAAATATGGCAGTAATTATTTTTTATATTTAGTTGTTAGTTGATGAACAAACTGCGTAGTGTCCATGCAGTTTGAAAACAATTATTATTTAACAACGTATAGGTATATAATATGTTACTGTATGACAAAGCGAATACAGAAAATAGCAATTTATCTTATTATTTTACAATAATATATAACACAAATATCATCTACCAGATGCATTGTGCAACATCCACTGGCAGGGAAAGAAAAGTCAAATATATTATAGGCAATGAGTTACATCGCTGAGAGCCGCGGGTTCGAATCCCGCACGGAACAAGTATTCGTATGTCTTACAAATTTTGTTCCAGGTCTGTATGTTTGTCATGTCCAATTTATGTTTATAAAATGTCTCCACGATACAGGAGAAAATCCTAGTGTGGGACTAACCTTTTTTTATAAAGAAGAAAATAAATATGACTCATATTTGCTTCCTCGTTTAACTTTTGTAATCGATACTTACGAAAGTAAAAGAAGTGAAGTAAGGTAACAGCCTACATACGTCGTGCGCCCTCCTTTCTGCCAAGGAGGGTCGCGTTCGTATACGGCTTAGAGATCTCTAGTGAGATCGTTAAGCCAATTCCTAAAAGGTTGGGTTTAGTGGGTAAAAGTCACCACATAACCACGCAGCCGGCTGCGTGGTATGCTATGAGCATTCCCAACCTCCCTCCCCCGCTTTCCGGAGGGTTGCCCATATTTGCTTCGGGCGCAAAAAAAAAACCTACATACGTCTCACAGCTGGGCATAGGTCTGTCTCATTTCTTAGAACGTTTTAGGGCAAGGGAATGTTCGCCGCTCTGCCCTAATACGTGTTGGCGAACTTCATAAGAAGTCTACGAAATTTTTTTTCAGTTTATAAGAAATGCAGGTTTACGCACGATGTTTTACTTCACCGCCGAGCACGTGATCAATGAGCACCTAAAATTGCAATCAACAATTTCAAAGGTGCCAGCGAGGATCGAACCCTGGTTGGACGCATCTACACTAATATTATAAAGAGGAAAGATTTGTTTGTTTGTTTGAATTGAATAGGCTCTGACTGCTCAACTACTGAACCGATTTGAAAAATTCTTTCACCATTAGAATCCTACATTATTCCTGATGAACATAGGCGATAGAACGTTTTCAAAAAATTTAGGGATCCGTATGAAAACTTCGTTAATGTAACCCAAGGTGTGAAAAAAATACCAAAAAAAACCTTATATCGCGTACGCTGCGGAAACTATTGACAATAGAGCAAAGTGATGTGCTACAGTTTTATGGAGGACATCAATATCTACATAAAAGTCTGCAATACTATATGTCTAACTATTATAGTTATCTCACAATAACTACTTTTCCATGTTAAAATATTCAATAGTAACGTCGAAAAATCTTTATATCGCGTACACTGCCAGCACCATGCGATGCGGGTGTCACTGGGGTGTGGGAGTGGAGTCTATGTCAAAAAATAAATTGCCGCGCGGCCCACTCGCGCGGTCGGCCCCCTTACGCAGCCGGTCAACTGTGTTCGGAATCCAATAAATTTAATACCTACCTATTTTTTATCTTTATACAAATATTAGAAATAAAAATGAAATAATCAAATATTAAAAAAGAACAAAAAAAGATACGTAAAAAATAATAAAAAAATCATTATCTATACTTATATATATAATATTATAAAGAGGAAAGATGTTTTTGTTAGTTTGTTTGTACCAAATAAATCCGAAACTACTGGACCGATTTTAATCAATTTTACCAATAGAAAGCTAAATTATAGGGGGGGGGGAGGGTGAGTGGATAAAATTTAAATTTTCTGTATAACGTGTATATGCCGATAGATAAAAGTACTCCATTAATTTTGCTAATTTTTTTAGCTAAAATGATTGAACTAAATGAGCGCGGTGTCATATCATGTCGCGCGGCAGAGACGCGTGATATACGCGGGTGAAACCGCGGGGTACAGCTAGTACCTTAATATACTGCGAGGCGCTTAGGGCAGTGAGAGCGTTGAGTACGTTGATGGAATGTATGAACCAAGCAGTCTTAGAAAATAGTAGATTAGAACTATTAGAAAAAAAAATCCTTTGTCACATTTTCTAAAGGTGTGACAAAGACATTTGTTCGAAAAAAATGCAGTAAAATAACACTCCATAAAATTACTAAAATAAGAATAAATTTAACATTTTGAACAATGCAACGAAAAACTATGTTTAATCCTATTAATTTTCATTATTTTAACACGTAAATTTTGTACCGTTTGTTCATATTTTAACTTGCTATAGTTGAAACAATTCATGTTGTTCACTTCAGTACGTCATAGAGTAGTGTAAATGAATTTTAAGTAATATTTGTAAATAAAATTTTCAAAAGCAATTTTAACACATTTACCTTTACTAATTTTAGATATAAATATAACCTACACGCAAAACGTGAAAAACTGGGCTAAGATTTGAAACTGCACAGTACCACTTTTTTAAGAAAAATCAAATTTTACTAAAGACAAGTCAAGTAAAAAGATAATAAAAAGCAACTGAAATATTTCTTTAATTTGTAATATTATATATAAATAAATTAAATAAAATGTCAGCAATTAAAACACTTTCCATATTTTATCCAACCTCCAAGTACGGACTTTTGAGTTGGGATCATGTCTTTTATCAATAAGCTTTGATAGCTTAAGCAATCTATAAGTTATATTTGCCAAAAAGCTGATGGTTAAAATTTTATATCATAGTCTGTTCAAGATTTTGATATGATTCTGCACTTTACTGAATACTTCAATGTCCATCAGTTCATTGGGGTGGTTGTGTCACACAAAAATGAGAAAATGCACCTCAAAAAAGATTCGGTTTGAATAAATAAGAAAAAAAAAGAATCTAAACTTCAAAATATTATTATGATTTGAATGTACCAACACAACTTTCTTAATGCATAATAAATTGCTTAACACTAAGGTCTTCGCCATTAGTTTCTTTGACACCAACCTAACAACAAACTGAAAAAAGCTTTTGGGATACAGAGAATTACACGGCAATGGAAATTTATCGCCAAATGTTTTTTCTAGACTAAAAAAAGAAAACTTTAAAAGGTGGAATAATTACCTGTGACATGTGGATATCGTTACGTCCAAAAGTTCCAAGTATTCTAAAAATATAACCCTAATCAACCTTAGTTTCAAAGGTTGATTAGGGATACATTTTTAGTAAAAGCAGCATTGCACGAATTTTCGGGATGACAGAGAAGAATCAAGAGAAAAACATTTAAGTCATCAAATAAGGATAGCCAGATATATTTTATTTTATAGGATAGGATGACAAACGAGCACACAGTCCACCTGATGTTAAGTGGTTGCTATGGCCCTAAGACATTTACATCTATCCTCGATTACGAATCAAAATGCAGATGCGTTATCACCCGTGACGACTAAGATGAAATGCCTCATTTCCAGTGATAAGGGTCTCCGGTTCTCTCCACTCACCACACGAAACACAGCCGCATTTAGCCGCTACTTTACGCTGGTATTCTGTGAAAGCGTGGTCCATCCCCGGTCGAGCTGACCCATTTGTGCTACAAGTATACTTATAATATAACTAGAGCGTGTGCGAGGAAAATCGAAACACCACTAGTATTTGTGAGAATAATGTTAAGATTTAGGAGACATCAACAATTTTTTTAACGAAAACTGTAGCAGCTGTTACTTTCGATTCGCTAAGCATACGTACTGAAATCAACCCCATGGAAACGTTAGCACTTGTTATAAAAGAAAATTCTATTTTCACAACTTTACTCTATGGATGATCTACATGGATGTTGTTATTTTTTGTATGAACATACTACAAAAAAAGAGCCAAAACAACAGCCAATTTTGTCTCTGCTTTAATGAATTAAAAGTTAAGCATTTTTGAAAAGTATCAGTATTAATTTACAGTATTAACTTATTTTATTAAAGTGCAGTTGCGATGTAAGAATTCCCTCTACCACACTATCGTCCCGTAAATTTGAGGAAAAAATCATCAATTAAGTTATGGGCAGCAGCATCATCCTGATAACAACACAATATAATAAAAATCGCGCGGTTGACAACCCGCCTGCCAAGCGAGGTAACTTTGGCAGAATTCCTCTTATGAGACAATCCATGGGGAGGCCTATGTTCAGCAGTGAACTTCTATAAGCTGTAATGCTTAACTTTTTTTGTAATATAATATTTACCATATCCTGTTCATACATATTTTGTTAAAAATAATAGACAGTTTTTTCCGTTTCTATTTAAGGAGTAATTTTTTTAATGTAAAAATACTTGAAACAAATCTATATTTTGTTTTCTTGTCATATTTTTTGTGGTATGCGCTACTAAAGCCGTTGAAAAATATTTGTTATAAAACCAAAGCATTGTAGATCACTGGTACAAGTAGTCTGACAGTACTAATAGTAATTATACTGGTAAAAAAGTTACCATAAAAAACATAACTTGTAAAAAAGTCTTGCAACTCACTTCTCCTACCGTAAAATGTTGTGAGATCCATATACCAAGTCGGTTAATTTACACAGTCCCTAATTATGGGTTTGTAAAAAAAGTCTTACAACTCACTTCTCCTACCGTAAAATGTTGTGAGATCCATATACCAAGTCGGTTAATTTATACAGTCCCTACTTATGGGTCCCTCTGTTATAAGTTATTACGTAATTATCCAACCTAACAACATTTTATAGCGACCATATCAATGTTAAAATTTTTTTATGTTTTA